CGCGATTTCTGATATTATTTTTCTGCGAAAACTTCGTTGACCTTTGGAGACATCCTTAATATAAATAATTTTTATGGCCGTTAAATAAGAAATGTTTCTTTCACAAGAAATGTATAAAATTACAGTACTGGACAGACGATAGGTCGCCTAACTCGCCGTAGCGTGACGCTAGACGGCGAAAAATATATATTTAATTATAATAAAGTTACAATAAATTAAGTTAATATATAATTATATATACAGTACCTAATTTATATATAATTAATATATAATTATATGTACAGTACCTAATTTATATATAATTTATATATAATTATATGTACAGACGAAACTAAACTCAATTTACCCGCCTAAACTGTCCGTAGCGTGGCGCTACGGACGGCGGGAAAATAGTTCGACTGCCCGATGACGTTTTATGTAATTATAGGAGTTTTTTTTACCGTTGTGTATGGATACTGCCACAATTTTTTCGCCGTCTTATAGGAATCGTAATTATAGGAACCAGTCTTATAGGGGGATCTACTGTAAATAAAGAAATATTTTATTTAATCATCATCTGTTGGAGGGATCATAGCAAGCTGTTTCAAAACTATAATAGAAATGTTTAATTCCATTAAAAGGACTTTAAACAATATACTGAGTTTAGAAACATAAGATTTTTCTATTCTCTGTTTGCCACATAAATGAAAATAAACATCATTTCAGGACACTCTTATCCTGGCCAGTTAAGTGAGATAGTATGGAGCTTGTTTTATATTAAAACTTATTCAATTTTACAGGGGGAATTTCAGAGGTTACCATATAAGCAAGGTGGTCACAAAATAAGGTTTTACTGTATGCATAAAATTCTCAAATATTTTATTTATTTTTTGAAATATTTTATATAATAAATATTGATATGTATATTATTTAAATAAGGAAATTACTAAAATTTTTATTATTATAATCAAAATTTTGCAAAACACTCACTGGTGTAGTCAAAATGATAGAAAATTGTTGTAGTTCAAAATAATCATCGAGTTCACTATCTCCTGTTAATTCAGTACAATGTAATCCTAATGGTCCAAATTTTACTTTCCAATCATTATATCTTTCACTACATATAGCCTTCATTGGAGCCACTGTAAAATATAATAAAATAAGCATATGATAAAAATCAGGTAAAATATAAATGCATTAAATTTTTTGATGAATTTATATTTTACCTGATTTTTAATTAAAAAATATTTCATATGTTAGTTTATTTAACATATAGTAATTTATGTAAATTTTAATTTACAGGTCTTCCAAAACAAATGCCCATTTTAAATTACTGTAATTATGTTAATTATTACCTGAGAAGTATGCAACATACACTAATTGATAGAGTAACAATCTGAGTTTCATTTCCAATCTGCATTCAAGTATCATAAACAAAAACAATGACTCTGAAAGAGAGATTTTTGTGTTCTTCAGTTTGAAAACTCAATCATTTTGTGTTCTCCTGAAACTGACAATATCTCTAAATAAAGTTTATCTTGTATGATGGATAATTTTTAAATTGTCTGCAAAACTCATGTTGTACAATGATGAGTGATTCCCTGCAGAACACAAAATACTTTCTCTTTGCAGAGTCACCATTTTTATTTACAACATTTCCCACAGCCAGTAGACAAAAGACATTTCAGTGCAGCTGGTAGATGAAGCACACATGGTTACTCTATCAACTGATGTATATCACATACTTCTCAGATAATAATCAACATAATTACAGTAATTTAAAATGGCAGTATTCATTTTGGAAGGCCCTATATTATTAATACATAAAAAATATTAAGTTGTAAATTTACATACTGTAAACCATTTTAAAATTTGATGTATGATTCAATTTCATCAGAAATCGAATAATAGCTAATTCAAATATGACAGTTTTCCCAGATCCAGTTGGTGCAGATATAACAATTGATTTGTCACCATAAAAAACCTATAAAAATAATATTTTAATTTATAAAATAATATAAATTATCATTATAAAATTGAAAAAATTCATTTCCAAATATTGCATTATTGATATTATTTTTGATTAGAATAATAAATATATATAAATCATGCTTATACAAATGGCTGTAGATATTTTAAATATAATTAGGGTTTCTCAAATGAGATCCCGGGATTCCGGTTGTTTTTTTAACCCATGAAATATCCCGGGAAATCCCACAAATTTCTTAAAAATTCACTTTTTTCTTATTTTGTGTTAAAGTTGAGGAAATTTTGCAATTAGAAAGCATAATTAACTCACAAACTGTCAGAATACATTTGTATTTATTAATTTTAAACCTACTTATTAGTTTGTTTAATTTTTGTTCATTATGGCATATCACAAATGGTCAATAATCAGTACGTAGCTTATTTGTGGCAGGACTCTGAAAATTCTTTACTTGTTGAAACCCGTAATATCTGGAACAACTGTGCTTACACTGTCTTAATTTTTAATCATGCCCAATAGCGTCAATAACTGCGTAACACCAGAGTGCGCTAATTGGGCAAGGATACAAATGAGTACAAAGTCTGCAAGTACAAAGTTTTTCTTCATAAACCTGATTATTAAAGCCAAACAAATTGCTAAATTATCGGGCTATAAGCTCGATGCTGCTATTAAAGCAGCCGAGGTAGACAAATCGAGAATACTAGACTGCAAAAGAAGTACTACAATCTCAAAAACGAATGAGAAATCTTCCAGGCTACAGGTGAAAAAACATATAACATCTGTCTTCTCTTAAATGCATTAAAGACGATTCCACTAACATCAATAAAATTGGAAATGGCATTCTCGGTAGCAGGACTTTTCATTACTAAAATAAGAATCAGATTGACTGATCAAAGTATCGACCGTCTTTGCTTTTTAAAATCTTATTATAAAAATTACAATAATATTTTGTATTATGTTTTATTTTAAAAACAAAAATTATCTTTTAACTTACAAGTTTGATCTAAGTTCATTTTTTTTTAATTTTCAACTCAATTCAAAGCATTTTGTTGTTGTTGTTGTATGCAGTTTCCAGCAAACTTTAATAAATTTTTTCTATTTGTGAAAATTTCTACATAATTCAAAGGTAATTTTTAATATATATCTTATACAGCACGGGTTCCCAACCTATGGGTCGCGACCCAGAAGGGGGTCACGACGAGTTTTCTGTGGGGTCGCCAACTTATGCAGTAAACTAAAACAAAATTTTCACTATAATGCAATATTTATTTTTAATGGTGTCTTAAAGTTTGAATAATTTCATATTTAAAAAAATTAAAATAAGTGTAATCTGGGTAGGCTATTCTGTCACAGTTGGTTGAAACATGTGTTGAGAGTTTTGAGAGGAATAAATTAAATGTTGAGAATGACATGAGGTTGGCATTAACAAAATCTCATTCGCGAATTTTGAGGCTAGTAAATAATACATGCAATTTCAACCATCTCATTAAATTAATTATTAAACATAATTTAAAATAAAATTATACTAAAAAACTAATTTCATTGTCTTTTTAATTACATTATTAAAAATACCTTTTTCAATTGTATCGAGGTCGCGGGTCACTTTGCTTTTTTAAAAAGGGGGTCGCCACCCGAAAAAGGTTGGGAACCGTTGTTATACAGCATTATTAATATGATTTTGGAGGTTGTAGATTGTATTAAATTACTTTAAAAAATGAAAAATAATTATATCATTTGATTTCATGATATTTTGTATATCTTAAAAAATAATTAATTTTGTTCCGGGATCCCGGAAAACAGTTCACTTTTATCCCAGAATCCTGGGACAAGCAAAACACCAGGAAATGAGAAACCCTAATAACAACAATTAAAATAAAATTTTAAAATAAAAAATATAAGATGTTTCTTATTACACAGTATTTATTAAAACTTTAAAACTGATAGAGGATTACTTACATCATCAAAAATCTCAGACTGTATAATATTGAAATAAGGAAATGCTTCAAACACACATCTATAACTTTCAGCTTAAAATTTTGTTAACTTAAATAAAAACTTTTTCTTAAATTATAATATATATAAAAACAACTAAGTGTAAATGCAGTCTCTAAATGCCAGATTAATTTCAAGCTATGACAATATGATCTAAAGGTCAGAATTTAGATCATCATCTTGTATTAATTTTAATAATTACAATAATTTTTCAATGAAATTTAATAATTAACAATTGAAACCACACTGCATACCATGAAGCTGTGTTACCAGTTACTCTATCCAGGCTGCTAACTGATCTTTACTATTGGACCAATTAATTTAAAAGATATAATCAGTGTTCTCTCAGGCTCTTTTGGATGATTCTAATTTATCTGATGAACTGACACGTGAAATTAATGTCATTAATAAACTGTAAAGTTTCATTGTCATTTGTGGAAAGTATAGACTTCAAAAAATCAAGTTAAAAAATTTTTAACTTTACTGTTGAAAGCAAAAACAAGAAGTTGAAACTAACAGAAATGAGATCACAAAAAATTACTGTAAATTCTAAATAATCAATTGCACTTGCTAATGGCACAATAATTAAGTATTAAATATAATAGTATAATGGGCAATAAGTTAAACACATTACATATAACAAACAATTATTTATTGTGATATCGTCACAATGATGGGCTGCAAATTTTAATTATACTTTTAATTTATTTAATTTAAAATATATGCTCTCTACCTCAAATTAGCAGTCTGCCCCTGCAAATGCCCCTGTACATCATAGTTTTCCTTTAGCAATAGAGTTGTGCCAGTCATCTATCTAACACCTTTAGAAAAAAAATTTTTGAATTGAAATAACATGATTTCTGATTTTTATCTGCTAATTTTTAAGTTTTTAATTTAATTTATTCAAAATTTTGTTCAGTTTAAGAAAAAGGGTCTTATGTAAAGAGTCTACTGTATTTAGAAAAATTAACTATTTAAGGTTTTCATATCTGGTCTCATCGTTCATCTATCTAACTCTGTTGTTAAGATTAAGGAAAGACGGATGGATGACGGGAAATTTATAAATCTATTTTTTCGAATTGCAGCCCAATAATTATTAGGAAACTTATTTATGTTTTGCTATTAATCAGGTTCATGCTAGGTCTTAAAATCAAAAACAAAACATAGAATGAACTGGATTTATAGTGAAATGTAAATAAGTTTACCAATACCAACCAGTTTAGCTTGTTACTGAGCTTCTTGGTTCAAGTAATCATTCTAATTTCAATTTTATGATAAAATTGAAATGAATTAATAATAAACTAACAACAAAAGTGAAATAAATTTTCCTTAATTTATGGAAATCAGTGTAGAATAACTATAGTTTTACCAAACTGATAAGAAAAACATATTTGGTTTTATGGTGCTTATTATAAATATAATAACTAATTCATTCAAAGATACGTATTTCTTGAACTGACCGCAACTTTATATTTTTGGCACTTCCTCCTGCTGTAATACCTAAAAGAAAATATGCATCTATCATCATAAAACTTCAGTAAAAAAATTAAATTTTTATGAATTTATTAATTCAGTTAAAAAACTTATGTTAAATATTTAAATTAAAAAATAGTGTAATTCAGTTTAAAAAAATTTAAACTGAATTACACTAGAATTCCACTGTCAGGTGAGTACACTTTAATCAAGAAAGTAGTCAAGTTTGCAAAATTTCTAGTGGGATTTTTTTTTAATGTCATTGGGAATGAATATAATACGTAATTAAAAATCAGTTTATTTATAGAGCTTATATTATAACTTGAATAGATTATCAAGCCAAATTAGAATACATACAATATGTTGTGCTTTTAGAGTAGTTGCATATAAAATGGTAACGTTTATAAGCACATTTATGTTACTATAATGAGATTGGTTTACTTACAACCAAAAACAAAAGACAAAATGACATGAGAACATTCAGTGTGAATCACATTAAGTGATTTGAGTGTAATGATATGGCATGATTAGTCCTTTGTTGAGAACACCATAGACAAAAGCAGCTGCTAATTTTTAATTTTTTAATTTAATTTATTCAAAATTTTGTACAGTTTAAGAAAAAGGGTTTTAAGTCAAGAATCTACTGTATTTATAAAAATTAAACCTAGTAAATTACTATAAGGGCTAGTACACATTAGGCATTTTGAAGTGCGCGCTTTGGTAACGTGTGTTTTAAAAAACCAAGAGGTCTGCATAGGTATACACACACAAATGCGTGCCTCTGGCCAAGCGCACGCCAAACGCGCGTTGATAGATTTTGGTTAGAATACGCATTTCACGGGTGTCAGCCGCACACTTTGAGATATATGTACTGCCATTTTGTTGTACATTCGATCGCATGCTTTCGGGTAGAGTGGACACACATTGGCCGAAATGGAGAATGATTATTTCAATACTGATCTATTTATTGATGAAATCCAAAAGAGACCAGCCATCATCAAATGATTTTATAGACATTCTAAAATAATTAAAAGACTTGGGTTCATATTGTCTTAGTTTTGGATACGTCACAAACATTCCATGCTCAGTCTATCTCATAATATTAGATGTACCCAAAATTCTCTTTGCCTCTGCCATTGTCTTTTATAGTGACGATAGAGGGGCCTCACACAAGCAATTACTTTCACATCCATTTCCAAACTGAGCAAGTGCAAACGGTCATCAAACGCCGAGCTAAACGCGTGCTGTGTACGCTGCTAATGCGCGTTTAACGCAACGCCCAACGCCTAATGTATGAAAAACTTTTACTGACCATAAAGGTAATTTATTGAATGTTTTCAGTCTTAATTGACCTTCCTCAGGAAATTTGTAATTCAAAAACAAATGAAAACCTTAATTTATTAATTTAATAAATAATAAAATTAAACCAAAGTCTAGAATGATCTTTCTCTGATGCAACTGATGCAAGTGGTTACTTAAAGAATAACAAATCTTCAATAATTTATAAATACTTCAGCTTTCTTTTTTTTTAGTGAGGACCAAGACTCTCTTAATACCTTCCATCAATGGATCAGAATTTTCATTTTTAATATAAGTCAAGATAAACATCAGCAAAAAATAAAACTTGTTCAATTATTTTGACTGACATGACTTCACAACAGTTAGAAAAAATTCAGGCAAGAAGTCAGTTCAATATTCAGAGAGTATACAAAACATAGACCACTTTAAGAAAAGTTTACAAAGTTACAGATAAAAATCACTTACTTAAAATTTGGCTTAATAATTACAATTTTTAGTTCTAAAAATATAGATATCTATTAAACTAATTATTAAAAAACTTTTAATTTATTAAAGATCAAATTCATTTATTTTTTAGAAATATTTATTAACAGTATCAGTAACCATTTATTGTGTTAAATTTAGGAATTTTTTTTTATTCTTTTCATCCTGTGCTTCTAAGAAAGCCTTTATTTCAGGTCCATCATGGATTCGATAGGCCCACAATGGGATGACTGGTAACAAGGGATGGGCCCAACATATTCAGAACAAATTACCCTCTGAAAAATTTCTGGGATTTTTCAACAAGCCAAAATTCAAAAATAATATCAATTTCATTACATGGCATAAATTTTTAATATATTGGAATTTGTTGTAGAAACATTCTTGAATTAATTGTGATATTAAAATTAAAAAAATGTAATATTTCTGTAAAAATATTTGTTAGATGTATTTCATATTTGTAGTCAGGAATGCATTTATTAGAGTATTTCATACTGAATGGCTTGTGAGCACTAAGATTGGCTTTACTTTACCGCTAGACTTATTACACCACCACAGGACATCAAATTAGATTTAGAAAAACACTATTTTATTTTTAGAATGCATTTTGGACATGGAGTCCCTCATCAGCTTTTTGCTACAAGAATAATAGGAAGTTAACAATTTTTATAAAAAGACCATGATTGACAGAAATGAACAAAGAATGTGGACTTACATTTGACATGTGGATTCGATGCATTGAACATTAATTAAAAGACTAAGCACATGATAAAACAAAATTTTCCATTAAAAAATGGTAATGTTGATACAATAACATAATAATAAACTGAGGTTCTGGTAAAACAGTAAAGTCGTAAAAATATACATTGTTAAAACAAAGTGATAAGTAGATTCACAGTAACACAAACAGATTACAAGACGATTCGAAGGACATTCCAGGGTAACCGCCACCCTCACCCCTATCCATCTTCACACCTCTCCCCTCCCCCCACGCCCCCTCTGGTCAAATATGCATATCACAATTCGTGTAATTTTTCTAAGTATTCATCTATTATTTCTAAGTGTTTGTACCATCTTCTAAAAGAAGATGATATGAACACTTAGAAATAATAAAAAACAAAGAGGAAATCATGAATAACAATTCCAGTCAAAAATTACAAGTGGTACGCATACTTGACCAGAGGAGGCATGGGGGGAGGGGAGAGGTGTGAAAATGGATAGGGGTGAGGGTAGCGGTTACCCTGGAATGTCCTTCGAATCGTCTTGTAATCTGTTTGTGTTACTGTGAATCTACTTATCACTTTGTTTTAACAATGTATATTTTTACGACTTTACTGTTTTACCAGAACCTCAGTTTATTATTATGTTATTGTATCAACATTACCATTTTTTAATGGAAAATTTTGTTTTATCATGTGCTTAGTCTTTTAATTAATGTTCAATGCATCGAATCCACATGTCAAATGTAAGTCCACATTCTTTGTTCATTTCTGTCAATCATGGTCTTTTTATAAAAATTGTTAACTTCCTATTATTCTTGTAGCAAAAAGCTGATGAGGGACTCCATGTCCAAAATGCATTCTAAAAATAAAATAGTGTTTTTCTAAATCTAATTTGATGTCCTGTGGTGGTGTAATAAGTCTAGCGGTAAAGTAAAGCCAATCTTAGTGCTCACAAGCCATTCAGAAGACTAGACAAGAAGCATATCATAGTATTTCATACTATTGGTAAAATTAATTTCAAACAATGTTGATTTATTTCTTTCATTTAAAATTTAAGCAAACTTACTTGTTAATAATGGATCTGGAAGAGAAATTAAAGAAGATTGATTTTCATATGAATTTGTTAATGTATTTATTGCATCCTGATTATACATTGAATCTGTATCTTCTAACAAATCAAATTCTGAACTTTTATTTTCTAATATAAAAGATTGTCTAAAAAGCAAAAATTTAAAAAATATTGTAATATTGTAAAAATTATTTTAAAATCATAAAAGTAAATTAAAAGTTTTTTTTTATTTATTTATCAATATCAAAAGCATTTAATGCATTATAACAATTTTAAATTAATCATCAATTGTATTTCCTGTAAATTAATTTTTCAAAATCATTACTTTGGTAAATTATTATATTAAATGTTAATGTGTAAGGCATTGCAAGCTAATTTAACAAGAAATTTTCTCAGCTAATTTTAAGAATATAAAATTCATTGGAATACTGTTTGTTACTTTAAGAGCTTTGAATTTATTATAAAATAAAGGTGAATTCAATGTTTATGCCATTATAATTTCTAATGTTAAATTTCTACAATGATATCACTTTTTCCCAATTACTGTAGAAAATGTCTCCTATCATTTTCTTATTGCAAATAATAAGACTATAAATTGCAAAAAATCATATTATAAAAATATTAAAAATTATATTGTAGAAGAGTTACAAACAATTGTTAACTATAGATTAACCAAAAACATTTGTAAATTCTAAAAAATAAATAAGACTAAAACAACTAAAATTACTCTTTCTTATCCAACTTTGAGAGATTCAGTTAATGCATATGATTTCTGCATCAATATCCTTCCTTCGTCCTGGCCTATATCCCAGATTATTTGGGGTCAGCCCGGAATGTCAATTTACGCCACGTTGGTTTATCTCTAATTGTTTCTTCATCCACTCCACAGTCCAGCATATCTGTTTTTACACATTCAATCCACCTCTTCTTAGGTCTTCCTCTACCTCTATCTCCATGTACTTTCATATTTAGTGCCTTTTTTTGTTACATGTTCCTCATTCCTTCTCACAACATGTCCAAACCATGTCAGTCTGTGGCTTTTTATTTTTTGAGATAGATACTACCTTTAAACTTCCTCTGATGTAATCATTTCTAATCCTATCCATTCTTGTGACCCCGCACATCCACCTCTGCATTCGCATCTCTGCCACGTGCAATCGCTTCACTTCGGTGGCTGTCATTAGCCAGTACTTGCACCCATACATAAGCATAGGTCTGATGACAGTTTTATATGTTAGCCCTCTTATTTTAAGTGGCATGCATTTGTCAGAAGTTATTCCTGTCACCTGTTTCCACTTTAACCACCCTGCATTGATCCTCCTAGTACCTCCCTATCAATGTTACCATTTTTCTGCAGCAGAGATCCCAGATAATGGAATTCAGTACTTTCTGGCAATGGTATTCCATTTAGTTTTAACGAACCAGTACCAGGGAGACCGTCAAAATTACAGAACATATACTCCGTCTTGGTTTGGCTGATTTTTAGTCCCTCATTTTCCAGCACGTGTTGCCATTTGTTTAGCCATCTCTGTAATTCTTCCCTGCCCTCAATGAGGACTATGTCATCTGCAAACAGCACACACCAAGGTACGTCCTCTTGTACAGCAGATGTTATCACATCCATAACTAATAGGTAGAAGTATGGGCTAAGTGCTGACCCCTGATGTAAGCCTACTCTTACTTCGAACATGTCCGTCAATCCAGCTGCAGTTCTAACCTGCGTGTTGGCCCTATAGTACATATCTTCAATTGTCATAATGTATTGAAGCGGCACATCTTTCTTTCTTCCTAAGGCACCACCAAAGGACTTCTCTCGGGACTTTGTCATATGCTTTTTCCAAGTCTATGAACACCATATGCAGGTTTCTCCTTACAAATCGGTACTTTTCCATCACCTGTCTCACCACGAATATGGCGTCCGTAGTACTCCTCCCAGGCATAAATCCAAACTGGCCTTAAGTACACTAGTTTCCTCTCTAATCCTCCATTCAATTACCTTTTCAAAAAGTTTCATTGTGTGAGCCAACAGTTTTATCCCCCTATAATTATTACATTCCTGCACATCCCCTTTTTCTTTAAAGATGGGTACTAAATAGCTTCTTCTCCTAGGACTTTCCATACCTCTATTCTGATCCGGGCCCACTGATTTCCCATTTTTCATTTTATTCAATGCCAGCTTTACTTCCCATTTCTCTATTATGCCTATTAAACCAATATTTGGCTCTACATTTTCAGTGTTAGTTTGTCTGTCATTCTCCACATTCATAAGGTCTTTAAAGTATGTTTTCCACCGGGCCTTAATTTCTTCATTTTTAGTTAGCACTTTGCCATTTATGTCCTTTATACACTTGATATAGGTCATATCTTTACTCCCTCTGCCTCTCATTTTCACAAGTCTATATATGGCTTTTCTACCCTTTTTTCCCATGAGTGATCTATACATTCCATCCTGGGTTGAGCCTTAGCTATGGAGACCGCTGTCTTCGCCTTCTTTTTCATCTGCACATAGCTCTTTTCTCTTCCCTTACCTTATTATCTCCTTTCTCATTCTGCCAACTTTTAAAAGCATCTTTCTTCTCTCTTATAGCTTTCTTTACTTCTTCATTCCACCACCATACCTCCTTCTCTATTTTCCTAACTGACTTTGTTTCTCCCAGAAGTTCCTTTGCAAACCCTCATATTTCCCTGGCTCTGCATCAATATCAGTGCATGCATAAACCAAGGACATTGAGGCATATTAATTTAGTATTTCTTTGTTATTAGTTTGTCTGCTTAACTGAATCTCTCAAAGTTGGATAACAGAGTAATTTTAGTTGTTTTAGTCTGGAAATAATCTCATTTATTTTTAGAATTTACAAATTTTTTAAGAATATTACTGATCCCATTGTTTAAATTTTATGAATATATTTATAGATTAACCAATTATTTGATTAAAGAAAACAAAACTTATTCAATAACCAACCATTCATTGCCACCTTACATTGAAACAACATGTTGAATCGTATTGATCTAACTCACAAGCTGGATAAACAATTGGTCACCAATGCTTATCCAATAGTTAGCTATTCATTGATATTTCTGGACATATTTACTGTACACTGGCCAATATACAGGGTATATACTAGGCCAATATTGAACAATTAATTTTTGTTTGCTAGTCTAATAATACTATAAAGCTTTGATTTTAATGCATATTATAAGTACATTACTTGAAATAAAAATAAGTTATTTTAAATGCATATGATTTCTGCATGTAACTCAAGTATAACTAATTTTAACAGAATAATTCTACATTATCAATAACAATGCTTAATGTTTTTTTTAATTATAACAATTTATTTGTAAAAAATCAAAGTATTTATTTATCAAAAAACTTTCAATTATTTCAAAACTTTTAATTTTTAAGATCAAACCTTTCATTTTGCAAAGGTTCCTCTGATACTACTTTGAAGAGTGAATCATACATCNTTTTGTTCAGTTTAAGAAAAAGGGTCTTATGTAAAGAGTCTACTGTATTTAGAAAAATTAACTATTTAAGGTTTTCATATCTGGTCTCATCGTTCATCTATCTAACTCTGTTGTTAAGATTAAGGAAAGACGGATGGATGACGGGAAATTTATAAATCTATTTTTTCGAATTGCAGCCCAATAATAATAATAATAATGTTAAATTAATAAGAATATTTTAAAATTTATTAAGTTTATAAAATTTGTTATTTGTCTTTACAAATAAACATTTTTAGTAAATTTATATTTAACAAAGTTTAAAAATAAATTAAATTCCACATATTGACATTTAGTTCTTCATTGGGTCTTCTCTGATTCCCTAACTGTGGTCCACTTCTCAGTATGGGATCTAATCTTTATACTTTTGATATATCCAAGTTTCAGTATCCAAAAGAAAAAGGAGACTTACATGGCATATTTAAAGTCATAATTATATGTATCTCTTAGGTGTTCCATGCACTTTGATATTTGAATATGCAGTAAGTGTTCCATTGCTATTAGATACTAAAACATTGGTATTATCAAAAGTACAGTATTGAAAATCTATGAGAAATAAACAATAGACTTTTTCACAAAATTATTTGGAGTGCTATTTGAAACATTAATTTCTGAAACTACTCTGTAAAATTATCTCAAAAAGAGTAACTTTTCTGTTCTTTTGTTTCAAATTTACCTCTGAAAAAAATAGTTTTAATTGAAAATTCACTTGAGAAGTTTCCTTAATAAATAAGTGGTCTTTGGACCATTTTGGACATTTATCATTCGGGTAAGAGGTAGATTTTGCTGATGGCTGATACTAAGTCAAACTTAGAGAAACATATCCTTACTTTGCCTGGTTTAAAATACTTGATTACAAATTTAATAATTTTAACTACTTTGCACAATAATACTGTATTTACTCGCATATAAGACAAGATTTTTATCCATTTTTCACTGCTTCAAAAACCTAGGCATACATGCAAGCAAAGGATTCTTTGCATTTTTGTATAATTTTTGTAAACTACGTATTTGCATATTTTACCAGATTCTCACCTTCTGGTGTTTAAAAACGAAAGTATTTTATGTGGGTCGTTTGAATCGTTCTTGTGTACTGCCAGGAGTAAAACTGAATGGCAATAGGTAAAGCAAAGCTTTTGAATTGAATTCCAAATTGAAATTCAGAAATCACACGGAGCCCGATATAAATTTTAATCCATTCCCATGTGAAAACAGATATAATTATTTGGAAATTCGAAGAAACTCATAAGTGTAATCAACGAAGAGTGAATTCAACTGTCAAGAATTGGCAAAAAAGGTTCCCGATTGTCCAGCTTTACATGAACAAATTATGTTGTCGATTTCATAAGATTTTTCCTTGAAGTTTAAGATGCCAGTAATTTTTGTGGGACAATGTGTGCATTTACATGCATTTGATATTTTATTTGTTATTAAACGAAATAAAATTAGAATTGTATTAATAAATCAAATTTTAACGTCACACTATCGGAACCTGTGACCGGTGCTCTATGCGTATACGTTAAATATCGCTTGACAAACGTTTTCGAGCGTTCTGTTCGCTCTTCTTCAGGTCAACTGAAAGAATTCCCCGGACAAGGTGTATATTATTCTTCTCTAGGATCGGGTGTCGGTTCCGAGGGGGTGGGTCGCTTCCGGTATGTGCAGCCGTGCGGCGGGGGGAGGAAGCGGCGGATTGGCGTCCAATAGTGATTGCCAGGCCAGAGACAAGGTCAGTTCCTCTTTCCGGTTAATGCAAGTGGTTAGCCGGTCGGCGTTGTGGATAGCCGCGGCTTCCAGCCATCTGAGTTGCTGCTGGTGGGGCATGTTGACAATAATGGTAGCCCTCTCGAAGTGTACTTCGATTTCGGGGTCCGATGCGTATGTGGCTAGGGCTGTGGTCAGCCTCCCGTGCCGGATATCCGCTTGGTGTTCACGTAGGTGGGCGTTTAAGGAGCATTTGGTTGAGCCGATGTATAGTAGTTCCGCGTTTTGTCTATTGTCACGGAGCGGGATAGAGTAGATTCCGGGGAGTCTGGTGCGATCAGGAGGGTCCTTATCGNGCTGGTGGGGGGTATTGACAATAATGGTAGCCCTCTCGAAGTGTACTTCGATTTCGGGGTCTGATGCATATGTGGCTAGGGCTGGGGTCAGCCTCCCGTGCCGGATATCCACTTGGTGTTCACGTAGGCGGGTGTTTAAGGAGCATTTCGTTGAGCCGATGTATAGTAGTTCCGCGTTTTGTCTATTGTCACGGAGCAGGATAGAGTAGATTCCGGGGAGTCTGGTGCGATCAGGAGGGTCCTTATCGTTCCTTAGGATGCGGAAAATCGTGGGGCATCTTCTGTACGCCAGTCGAATCCCGTGCTCTTTGGCTATTTTTCTATGTACAGTCTTGAGGTGTGAGTTGTATGTGATGGGGATCCTTGCTGAGTTATCTCGTTGTGGGTTGGCGGCGATCTCTGCGGTTAGGGCATGCTTCTGGCGTTGGTACTGTTCAATTAAGCAGTGCGTTATGTTCGGGAATCCGTGTTCGATTGCTATTTTTTTGATGCGGGCTAATTCATTTGTCAGGGCTTGCTTGGTGGATGAGTGTGAGAACGTTCTCTCCACAAGAGCCCTAAATGCAGCTGCCTTGTATGGGAACGGGTCACAGGAATCGGCTGGTATGTACGTGGGGGTGGATGAGGGTTTGTGGTATACGGCTATTTGGATGGTGGGTCCTACTATCTTTATTCCGATGTCGAGGAAATGGATTTCCTTGGTACTAGCTTGCTCCAGCTCGATCGTTAGGCCGAAAGGGTTGTCGTTAACGGTTCTGACGAAAGATGTCATGTCGGGCATCTCCTTCCATATGATAAGGATGTCGTCAACGTATCTTTTGTAAAGGAGGATGCTAGGAAGGAAAGGCGGGAGGGCCTTAGTCTCAAGCTGCCTGACGACCATTTCGCAGAAGTCGCCCGAGAGCAAGCTACCCATCGGTACGCCGTTTTTTTGCCGGTAGATAGTGTCGCCGAACTTAAACACGGAGTCGTAACATGTCAGATGGGCCATCTCAAGTACTTGTTGGTGTAGTGTCTGGTCCTGAACAGTATTAAACAGAAAATCTCTGAGGGAGCAGAAGGCTGGGGGTAGTTCTATTGAGGGGTACATAGATTTGAAGTCCAGGACTGTCATAAACTGTGGTGGGGAGGGTAGGTCCTGCAGGAGGCGGATGAGGTCGGCTGGTTTATTCACATTGTAAGAGTAGTTTTCCAGATGGGGAGTTAGAAGGTTGTGTATGGCTTTTTCTAACTTTCTCGTGGGCGTTCTCACCTTGTCTACAATCGGGCATAACTGTTGGCCTGTCTTATGTGTCTTAGCGTAGGCGAAAAGTCTAAGGACGTCAGGTGAATCGATCACTATGTCACGGAGTGCCAGGCGTTTAGCTAATTTAGAGTCAGCCAGACGTCTAACCTTAGCCTGTAGTCTGTCGATTATATCGTCCTTCTCTTTCTCGCACATTGTATTATCGATATATTCTCTTAAACTCTGTTGGTATGAATTGCGTTTCATGAGGACCAGTGTTCTGGACTTATCTGCTCTGGTGAGAATTACTCCGTTCTTTTGCATCCATCTAGTAGTACGATTCAGTTTGTCCCTGAGCTCTATGACTTCTTGCTGTTCCTTAGCTTTCATGATGTTTATCGAGGATATCCATCTGTAATACTCCTTCTGCGTATCTGGGAAGCTTTTTACAAGGTATTCTATATCTGGAATGAGGTCTCTGATTCTATTCTTGGGCGGTGGGGGTGCAAAGGTTGGGCCATATCTAAGTACGTCTATAACGAAGTTAGGTGGTTGGATGCCGTCCCAAAGGATAAACGGGAATGTGGGGCGTTGGTTACCCTTAGGTACCTGAAATTTTAGTATCCAATCCAGCTTCCAGCTTCCTGCGGTAGCGTTCTCGTAGTTCAGCAGATAAGCGTTTGTAGACTGGGACTAACCTAGCATTCTCACTGGCCAATATTTCAGGGTGTGTGTGGAACAAGGAGTTTTCGGCCTCTATTAAGTCTTTTAATTTCGCGAAGATCCGCTTACTGGATGATCAGATGGCACTATTAAGACACATGACTCTGACTTTTTTAAGGAGAGGTTCGTTCCCTGGTGGGAGGCGTATCCGGAAAATTGTCATCGGTAGAAGTCCGTTCTTACAGTCCATAAGGAACCGTAGTTTGGCTCTAGATTTAACCAGGGCTATCAGCTTCTTGTGATACAAATTAGCCGGCATAGCTAAGTACTTAAATGCAGGAACTACTCAATTCTCAGCACCGGGATGAAAATAACGTCACACTATCGGAACCTGTGACCGGTGCTCTATGCGTATACGTTAAATATCGCTTGACAAACGTTTTCGAGCGTTCTGTTCGCTCTTCTTCAGGTCAACTGAAAGAATTCCCCGGACGGAGTGTATATTATTCTTTTCTAGGATCGAGTGTCGGTTCTGAGGGGGTGGGTCGCTTCTGGCATGTGCGGCTGTGCGGCGGGGGGAGGAAGCTTTCAGTCTGTCCGGGGAATTCTTTCAGTTGACCTGAAGAGCGAACAGAACGCTCAAAAACGTTTGTCAAGCGATATTTAATGTATACACATAGAGCACCGGTCACAGGTTCCGATAGTGTGACATTATTTTCATCCCGGTGCTGAGAATAGAGTAGTTCCTGCATTATTTTCTATATTTTAAGTTGACTTAAATTAGGTTAAAATTGAGGTTATGGTATATATGTATGATTTGTTTGAATTCCAATTAAAAAAATTTATAATCAGCTTTTTAGGCTAAGAAACATAGTAAAATTAAAGCAAAAAATTTCTCATATTAAACTGCATTTAAGAAATCCTATAACCTTAAGACAGAAATAAAAACCATTGTAGATAATATTTTATTTATTAAGCTTATTGTTCTAAAACGAACAATTAAGTATTGTGATATTGTCACAAATGCCAGGCTGCAATTTTTTAATTATTTAAATTAAAATATATGTGCTCTACCTCAAATTAGTAGCAGCTTGTCTCTGTACATCATACATCAGTCATGCTGATCATCTATTAACTGTTTTCAGGGAAAAAGTTTTAATCTGAAATAATGTGACTTCCAGTCTGCATTGGAAGTTCATATATAGTTTTTTTATTTTTTTATTTTTGCAATCAGTTTTGGTCTAAGAAAACTAAGGCCCTTCCCACTCAGAGAGCAGTAAGAGGCAAGAGCGTGTGATGTGATAAGCGTGTTTGTCCCATAAAGGGCTCATAATGTTTTTACACTAGTCCCTTGTGAAGGTTCATAATGTTATTAAACTAGTCCCTTGTGAGGGCTCATATGTTTACGTGGTGTTTGAAGTCTATACTTGTAATTTAAGTTTAGGGTCCAAAAAGGTGTATTTGTATGGTAGTTGTTAGTACTTTTAGGTTAGTAAGATAGTTATCACCAGGTTTCAGATAGGTAAGAGTAATGGTGACTAGGAATCATCCAGCTAAGGCAGTGGAATTTCAATGATTACAAAATTTTTGAAATGCATAATGTCTCTTGATTCAAAAGAATATTATAAAAAGATTTAACAATGTTGATGGTATGATAATTTAAAGTTTAATATAATTCAGTTTTATGTGAATGATTTAGTATTGGGTTGGATACTTTCATTTTATTTATAATTATTAATTTTTGTTTGGATTGCCAGTTGACAAAAGGAGGGGAGCCAGTCCAAGAGAACAAGACCTAGCCAGCAGCCAACAGTGTTGAAAATTTTTGGTAGAGAATGATTTTAACATAGAACGGCCAGAGCTGGAGGATGCATGAGGTAAGACAAGTTTATCAAAGGAGGATAGAAAAGTTGTAGAATGTTAGTGGTTAACATAGCCTAACCTAACTTTTTCTGGCTTGTCCAGAGCCACTGTGGAAAAGAAAACAGCAGTGGTAAAGCCACAGATGGCCGAATCCAACAAATTTGGAATAATTATTAAGATTTTGAAATGGGTGTCTGGCTTGGTGAGCGAGGCAACAAGCCAGATGGGTGCCTACTGGGAGGACTTTGAGCAGGGGATCTTGACCCCATTTGGGAATTAAGATGTGAAGGAAACCCAGTAAAACTTCACAAGTCAAGCTAGGCTGAAAGGGCCACATGAAAGCAACCAAATAAAAAGAAGTGATTAAATGGGATCCAAATATGGAGAGTGTTGGACAAGACCAAGTGAAGGGCAAAGTTCAGGATGTTTTTAAACTAGACTTTAGAGAGTGGCTACAGTGTTGATGAGAAAGTTGGAAGTTGAAGTTAGACAGAGTGAGGCAAGGTTTACCTGGCTGAGGACTGATGAAGGAATCCTACTGGGCCAGATGTAGAGGAAGAGAGACACACAAAAGGGGGAGGACAACAGCAGCAGGGATAGGTGCAGCGGCCCGCTAACGCCATGCCAAACAGGTGCCCACAGGTGGTGAAAGGCCACGGGAGGCAAGATGGAAGCCAGTTGCCGACTGCAACCCCGGAGGAAAACCGCCGCTGCCAATCTACCGAGGGATACCCATACCAGGATAAAGGCCACTATCCAGAAAAATGAAAGGGAGTGCCTAACAGTCAAGGAGGCCCACCCGACCGAGGCAACTACCCCGAAAAGACAGGATGGGCGAGTCCAGTGCTCAAACCTCGCACCTAACGCCCTTCCAGAAAGAAGGCGAAGCACCCAGTTGTCCGCATACGCAAGTGGAAGGGGCGGAAGGCAACAGAGAGAAGGCGCCTTGTCAACAGAGAAATTTAGAAAAGGAAGTTTGACTAGTGAAGAGTTTTACAAGAAAAGGAAAATAATCTATATTTTAGTGTTTTAAATCGTCGAAAAGAAGCAAGAAGAGAAGGGTGAGCCTGTTATCCACCAAGTGGTACTAGTCCTGAGGCTCAGACAAGTGTTATCATAGAGGTACCCAGATAGGGTAAGAGAAAGATAGACTAGAAAGATTAGGGAAGCGAGAAGAGTAGATGGCTGGCAAACACCCACCAAAGTGGCTGTGGATGCACCAAGCAGGTCGAGAACAGAGGTAAGAAATTGCCGCCTCCCACACCAGAAGACAGGGGCGGCAAACACAAGGCACGTGGCTCAGAGCCGGGTGCCAGATAGGAGACAGAACCTCACCAGGAGGGGAGGTAAGCACAATAGAGGAGTAAAGGAGAAAAGTGTAATAAGGACAGTAGAAACAGAATGGAAGGGAGAGTCAGTAAAAACTGACCCTCTGGGGCCATCGCTAGTCAACAGAGGAGTCTTTCAGATGTTATGAAGAGGCCTGAAGTAGTAAGGTGCTAAGAGTTCATATATAATGAATCAGTACCTCCTGCCCCCTATGGTTTCTATATCTGGTCTCAGATTTCATCTATCTAACTCCGTTTTCAAGCATAACAAAGAACAGACAATGGACAGACGAAAGTGGAAATGTACATGTCTGCAATTTGAATTGCAGCCCAACAAGTAGCTTGATTTGATTCTCAGATTCTGTAGTCAAAAGCAAAGCTGTCAAATAATAACTGGACATTTTTCCAGAGCATTTTTAAAGTATGACATTAAATTTTTTTAGGCTTTTATAAATTATAAATAATATTGATTTTAATAATTAAATAGCTCAAGTTTAATAACAGAAGTCAACACCGTCTTTTAGTGATAAAGTTTATGATTATTTTCTACATTAATAATAATAATAATTTTAAAAAATTCAACAATTGTTTATTACTTGCATATTCCAGTTTGTTATCATTAAAATGAAATAAAACAAAAGTGACTGATTAATAAGTAAGTGAGTAAATTACTTACTTTCTGCTACAGTTAATGCTTCTGTAACTAGAACAGGCAATGTTGTGCCAAATACTTCAACAGTATGCTGAACAGTTTTTTCAATAATTTGCGAAGTTTGAAAAGAACAATTCGCAGACTGGGTTCGAGATGGAGTACGCCTATTATGAAGATATAATAATACACAAATATCACAATTTTTTACACAATTATTACAGAAAATAATAATTTTTTTAAAACTTTAAGTAAAATTATATTCAGATTTAAGTATCATTATATAAAATATAGCAACACTTAAATCTTAGAACTTAATACTTAATACAGTAGTGTTTCTCAACCTTTTCTCATCACAGGCTGATAAATTTATGGATAGTTTTACATGGATGTAATTATGTGCAACTAAGAATTATGCTTACATATTATGATTTTATATAATCATATATAAGCATAATTCTTAGTTGAATTACTGTATGTTACAAAGTATAATATATAATGTATAATACATTAACTTTAGATTATTATTTAAATGTCACCAAAATCAACTGTGCCAATGTCAAGATAGTCAAATATTTTTTGCACTGATAAAATTTTATCACAGACTGACACTGCTCCATGGACCAGTGTGTGGCTAAGAAACACTGCTTTACTGTATGACATTACTACTGAAATAAGTTTCTATCTTCAGTTATCTATATTCATAGAAAAGAAATTAAATACTGAATTTTAAAACAAAATTTACTTTGTCTTGCACATTTATTCATATTTTGTTGAAATCTTCTCAATCATAAATTATAGGAATAAAAAATATTTTATAACAGCACAGTTCGGAAGATTCACTATATGAAATGCCTCATCTAGCATTTTACAGCATCTGTACTACATATGCCCATAAAAGCTTTATATTGGCTCATAAATTTGTTCTTTAGACTTGTGTTTTATATGTATATATTATATTTATTTAGTTTTTTCCTGCAGACATATATACTTACATTTTTAATTTTGTGGTAAGAATTGAATATCCTGATGATAGCTGAAAGAACTGCTGAAAATGTTTAATTTTCATAATTAAAACTGTGCTACCAGTAAAAGTTTTTTAATATACAGATTCACTATTTTTAATTTAATTTTTTTAAATATTTGTTAGAAAAGAAAAGTATTAAGCTTGCCATAGCCAAATTGATTTTACTGCCAACTTCATATAGTACTATATGCAATATTTTAAAATATTTTTCTGAATGTTTATTCAGAAAAATATTTTAAAATATTGCATAAAATTTATTATTTTTTTACATTTATTTTTTATGTAGCCTATTTTTCATTTTGCTGATAAAATATTAGAGACATTGAGAGACATTGAGACTATTAGAGACAAAGGAAATAATTCAAAAATATATAAGACAAAAATAATACCTCATCAAACCTTTAACCGGTATTAAATTTGATTAAGATTAGATGCAAACGTTTTCGGATCCTTCCCTGGGTCCTTTCTCAAGCACAGATTCTTCTTTAAAATTCGTTAAAAAGACCAGTAGATCGAACTTCTTTTGAATGCGACGTTCGAAAAAATATAAATCCTTCAGAACTACATTTCAAAAGTCAAACTAATGTGAATCACGTGCATTCCAGTATTCCGTAAACAACATTCGTTACGTAATGCCCGGTATTTTTAAAATGGTTTTAATGGATGTGTTACATTAACGAAAAATTTTTCGTTAATGTAACACATCCATTAAAACCATTTTAAAAATACCGGGCATTACGTAACGAATGTTGTTTACGGAATACTGGAATGCACGTGATTCACATTAGTTTGACTTTTGAAATGTAGTTCTGAAGGATTTATATTTTTTCGAACGTCGCATTCAAAAGAAGTTCGATCTACTGGTCTTTTTAACGAATTTTAAAGAAGAATCTGTGCTTGAGAAAGGACCCAGGGAAGGATCCGAAAACGTTTGCATCTAATCTTAATCAAATTTAATACCGGTTAAAGGTTTGATGAGGTATTATTTTTATATTAATCCGGAGTTTGAAGATTTTTATTTAATATATAAGACACATTTCTAGTATTATATACAATGTTCGACAGTCCCAATAAGGTAAAAATGAAGCTCTGAATAAGGCAATTGAAACCTTGTCTTGTATTGGCAAGTTGGGCATGAGCTTCTAGGTTATATTGCCCCATGGTAAAGTGTAACGTAATTGTCATGTAATAGTAGTTATATGAGTTTATGATGGTTATTACATGGGGAATAATGCCTTTCAGGTGGTCTTTTAAGGGTAACCATTCAAACATTACAGACATGGAGAAAACCCAGAAAACTCCACAGGGCCAGCTCGTCTGAACAAAGTGTAAACCTGTGACTGAACTCCCAGTGTTCAGAGAACAAAACCGCTTAGCCATTGGAGGGCTGATTGTAACCTTATCACAGCTGTAGTCCATGCCCATATGATCAAAAAGTCTAAAATTTAGGTGGGGGCAAACCCCTCAATAAGAAATGCAATGTTACCACAAATGATTATAATATTCCATGGAAACACAAAAAATAAATAACTGCTTTTATGTAGCTTCTACTTAATTAATTACGGGAAGATCACTTGAACAATGTCATAAATAATTCATTATAAAAATTAAGTAACTAAATTTTTATTTATTTAAAAGTTTATATATAGATATATAAATTCCATATTTACCCAGACATATAACTTCTTCTATATGAGGTACTACGAAGAGGAGTAGTTGTAAAAGATCGTTGCGAATTCATCTCGTATCAAAATAAACACACGCACGCTTCACGTTTACCGCTTTTCCCCAACTGCCAAATTATCCTCGAAATTTGTTAAATACCGGCTGCCAAATTACGTTATTTTTTTCTATAGCCAAAATATAATTAAGAAAAACGCGTAATGCAGGAATAAAATATACAATTACTCTAACTTCTAATTTCTATTAATAATTGTTTATGTTTTAATTGTAATATTTTTTGAGAGTAATGAGTTTTATCGATGCCATCTAGACGACGAGTATCAAACCAACGAGCTAGAACAGGGGTGGTGAACCTTTCCTCATTTGGAGGCCGCATGAGAGCTAACATTCTTCCACGAAAGCCACGTTCCAAAAAAAAAACAAATTTACTAAAAAATGCAAATAATTTAACCACTCAGCCATCCGACTGTCTCAGTTTTCAATTAAATTAGCTGGTATGTATGAGAATAGCAAATCCGTAACTCCGATACTGTACTTCGATCCATAATATATTTTGCGCCCGAATGGCCGCGCGGTTAAGGTGATAGCCTGTCGCTCTGAGGGACCCGGGATCGCCACCAGACGGGTCGAAAAAACGGAAGGTGGTCCGTCTGGATATGTCGGCTCCTGTCCCTCACCACCCAGTCGCCCCATTATGGGTTTGGCCAAATTCATAATGGGCTTGCTTTAAGAGGTCATCTTAGGCCCACAATCAGGCGACCGAGTGCCCACAGGGTGGAAAGTTTTAAAAAAAATTTCGTATTATCAACAAAAAAAATGTTTCTGTTTCTTGTTATTGATAATATATTATATTATTATATGCTTTGCTTAACATGTGAATTAAATTCAAATTCGAATTTCTTATGGTTTTTTTATTATTATTTTTTAACTCTTTCCGCCCTGTGGGCACTAAAAGGGCCTCTTTTTTACAAGCCCATTATGGATACGGCCAGGCTCACAATGGAACGACCGGGTGGTGAGGGAAGGGACCCGACATATCCGAACGGATCACCCCNGGATTTCTTGTCGCAGTAGCGAAATCGACGGCCAGATGAACGAGATGATAGAGATGTTAGACGCCGCTTTCGAGGACCTGGGTTCGCGTTCGTATTGAGAACTTCAGAAATTTTTTATGGAGATCTACAACAGATATATCGGGCCTAATCATTCAACATTCAGCGCCCTATTACATTCTTATCAGCAGTGTTGCCACCTTTTCAAAATTGCTGTCCCGGACATTTTAGAATTAGGATGTTATACCGAGGCATGCGCATTGCAGAAAACTGTACGAGGCATGCGCAATGTCATTTTACAGCCAAGAACTAAACAATGTGCATGCCAGTTTTAAACCAGTTAGGGACTTGTGTTGGAACAAACCTAATATTTGCAAAATACTCGCAAATATTTTTAAAAAATTTACTTTGTTTTATCTTAATTTCACAATTTCTATGAAAACCAGACAAATTAATAAATAATCCGGACCATAAATTTAAAAATCGGCTTGTCTGGATGAAAACCGGTCTGGTGGCAACACTACATAACAGAACTCGTGATAAACATGGAAAACAGTCCTGTTAATATTCACAAAGTAAAAAAAAAGGTTAAAAACAAATAAGGCTTTACAACACGGCCATCCGGTTTTTTAAACTTTTTCCGCCCTGTAAGGCACCTGTTTTTGGAAGTTGATTATGGATTCGGCCAGGCCCACAATGGAGCGACCGGGTGGTGAGGGAAGGGACCCGACATATCCGGACGGATCACCCCCCGAAAAATTCCTGGGGATTATTCAACCAGTCCGGATTTGATCAACTGTCTCCCAGAGCGGTAGGCTGCAATCTCTATCGCTCGGCCATCTGGTTGACTTATCGTTTTACGGGTCCAACAGTGGCAGAGTGGATATTATTATTTTTTAACTCTTTCCGCCCTGTGGGCACTAAGAAGACCTATTTTGCAAGCACATTATGAGTTCGGCCAAGTCCACAACGGTGCAACCGGGTAGTGAGGGAAGGGACCCGACATATCCGGACGGATCACCCCCAAAAAATTCCTGGGGATTATTTGAGCCGTCCAGATTCGATCCCGGGTCCCTCAGAGCGGTAGGCTGCAACCTTGTCCGCTCGACCATCCGGTTACTGGCAAAGTGGATAAAACCCACGACCAGTGCCGAACAGTGATAGTCGGTCGTGGGTTTGCGCCTCAACAACGAACTAGCCAATTTCAGTTTTCCGGCTTTTCTTTACATTAGTAACATCTAAATAGTGGTTAGTTTTATGTAGAAAGTCCTTACTTCGGTAGATCGCCCCGGTGTCACGTTTGCCGTATACAAACTAATAAAAAAAATAAATAAATAATTTAACATTTTATAATTTTGTTGTATTAATTAAATATTTTTTAAAATAAAAGTAATTAGCAATTACACAACGTTAATTAAACAGATCATTTTAATAAATTTTTTTTTTTTACATTTGGGCTAATAAAATCGAGGAATCCGTCTAGGTGACCTGAACGTTGGTTTGTCGTCGAGGTTCTCTGTCTTTGTACGGTACGTCTTTGTCTTTGAGGAGTTGTCATTTCTTTTTATGTTCGTTGTAATTGATAGCAAATTTTTTGTATAAAAAAAATTTAGACATTCAAGCTTTAACATATTTGGTAAGTTTCGTTAAAATATAAAAAACTTACGTATCTAAATAAGAGTGAAATCTTCGGTATAAAAATGTCGGACGCGATTACGTTTGTATCGAATGAAGAATGGATAAATAGACTATGTCAATTGGAAAATATAGATATTGGCTCTTTGTCAAATCAGTTGGAACCTCTTTTTGGCGATATTTTGGATCCTGTTTTACCTGATTTGAATAATGACAATGTTTTGGATCCTATTTCATCATGTATTAATGGTGACAGTCAACTGGAATTAACAAAATCTCAACAAAATTTTTGTAATTCCTCTTCTTCGACTCCAGCAAATGATTTGGAGTTTAATTCTGATCATTCCAACATCCAGAATAATGTGGAAAAAACTTCATCAACTTCTCTAAATAACAATGGCGGGAAGCCTTTTGTTGTTAAATTAATAAAAAAAAGTAGTTCTAATACTTTGAAGTTTGAAAGGTCAAATGCTAAAAGAGTTTTAAAAATAGTTTCACCTCCGAAGTATATGCCTTTGAATAAACCAGATGTCGATATTAAAAAAATGACCTGGGATGCGCGAAGCAGAAAGCGTACCGAGGAATTTAAGGATAAGGAAGAACGCAGGAAGTCGACGAGTGGATCGCAGAGTAGTGATTCCGACGATGGTAACGGTCGATGCATGTCGAAGAATGCTATAGCGGCTAGAGAAAATAGAGAAAAAAAGAAAAAGTACTTGAAAGATTTAGAAGAGTCGTGCGTCAGTTTTGCTTCCGAAATCGGTAGCTTACAGGCCGAGAATGCCACGTTACGAGAAGAAATCAAGAATTTACATAAAGAAGTCGAATATTTAAAAAATGTTATAGCAAATTCGGAACAACTTGGAATTTTGATAAAAGGAGTTCAGACTATTCCGGGATTAAAGTGGAATTCTCCCGTTAAGAGAAAAGAAAGCGGAGATTCGTCTAATAACTTAACAGTACANCTTTTAAAAAATCAATTTTTAAAAAATATTTTCTCAAAATTGATGAAAAAACTTTATGGGTTAATTGTACATAAATAACCCCCGTTTTTTTGCCTGGACCGCATTTAATCAGAGACAAAGCTTTTATTCGTATTCTTTATTTATTTTATATGCATTTCGGGTGCAATATTTTCTTGTAATTTGCAACCCTCTTCAGGATTTTTACATTTCTATAAATTTGGTAAATTTAAATATTACATCGGTAAATTAATACAATAGTTATACAATGGTTAAGTAACCTGTTTTAAGTTTTAGATCGACATCTGCCCAGTGTTGATGTTATGTCCCCTAAGGCCGTTTCTCCTCTTTTTGTTTTCTTTTCCATTAGCTCCTCCCATTTCCTCCCAAACGTCGTCAACCTCCATTCCATCATTTAGTTTTATGGTTTTGCTTTTATTAAAGATTTCGAAGTGCTCTTTGAATTTTCGTAGATAGATATCTTTTTCTTTATGGATAATTTTTATACTTTTTCGTTTATTGTGCATCCAAATTTATTACAGTGATTTATCCACGGTGATTGGTTATAATTAAGTCTAATTGCTGCTTTATGTTTTTTAATTCTGGTACCGAGTTGTCTTCCTGTTTCGCCAATGTATATTGCTGGGTTCTTATATGTACATTTTATTTCGTATATTACACCTGTTTGGTTTAGTACTGTATTTCGTTATTTTTGAACTTATTGGTGTTGATGTTGTTTTTAATTTTATTTTTTAATTTGGCTGCTAGTGTAACACCATGCTTACTGAAAATTTTTTTGTATTTTTCAAATGTTCCCTTGATATAGGGGAACGACGTATATGTAGTGTTCTCATTCTTATTTTTAACGTTGAATCTGTTTTTCTTAAATGCATTTATCCACTTTTTTAGTAATCTGCTTGGATAGTCGTTCAATATGAAGCTATTTATTAGTTCATTTTTTTGTTTTTTTCTTTCTTCTGCCTTAGATGTTCTGTTCCAAATTTTAGTTATTGCTGTTATAAATATGTTTCTTTTGCACAATTATTGTACATTTTATGTACAATTAATCCGTAAAGTTTTTTCATCAATTTTGAAGAAATATTTTTGAAAAATTGATTTTTTAAAAGTAAAAAAAAATGTTTCTGTTTCTTGTTATTGATGATATATTATATCATTATATGCTTTGCTTAAGATGTAAATTAAATTCAAATTCGAATTTCTTATGGTATTTTTATTATTATTTTTTAACTCTTTCCGCCCTGTGGGCACTAAAAGGGTCTCTTTTTGCAAACCCATTATGGGTACGGCCAGGCCCACAATGGGGCGACCGGGTTGTGAGGGACGGGGCCCAAAATATCCGGACGGACCACCTCCCGAAAAAATTCTGGGGATTATTCGACCCGTCCGGATTCGATCCCGGGTCCCCCAGAGCGGTAGGCTGCCACCTTGACCGCTCGGCCATCCGGCCGCATATTTAGGATTTAATTATTTCAGTCGAAGCGGTAGGCTGCCACCTTGACCGCTCGGCCATCCGGCCGTCCAGGATTTCTTGTCGCAGTAGCGAAATCGACGGCCAGATGAACGAGATGATAGAGATGTTAGACGCCGCTTTCGAGGACCTGGGTTCGCGTTCGTATTGAGAACTTCAGANACCACCTCCCGAAAAAATTCTGGGGATTATTCGACCCGTCCGGATTCGATCCCGGGTCCCCCAGAGCGGTAGGCTGCCACCTTGACCGCTCGGCCATCCGGCCGTCCAGGATTTCTTGTCGCAGTAGCGAAATCGACGGCCAGATGAACGAGATGATAGAGATGTTAGACGCCGCTTTCGAGGACCTGGGTTCGCGTTCGTATTGAGAACTTCAGAAATTTTTTATGGAGATCTACAACAGATATATCGGGCCTAATCATTCAACATTCAGCGCCCTATTACATTCTTATCAGCAGTGTTGCCACCTTTTCAAAATTGCTGTCCCGGACATTTTAGAATTAGGATGTTATACCGAGGCATGCGCATTGCAGAAAACTGTACGAGGCATGCGCAATGTCATTTTACAGCCAAGAACTAAACAATGTGCATGCCAGTTTTAAACCAGTTAGGGACTTGTGTTGGAACAAACCTAATATTTGCAAAATACTCGCAAATATTTTTAAAAAATTTACTTTGTTTTATCTTAATTTTACAATTTCTATGAAAACCAGACAAATTAATAAATAATCCGGACCATAAATTTAAAAATCGGCTTGTCTGGATGAAAACCGGTCTGGTGGCAACACTACATAACAGAACTCGTGATAAACATGGAAAACAGTCCTGTTAATAGTCAGAAAGTAAAAAAAAAAAAAAAAGGTTAAAAACAAATAAGGCTTTACAACACGGCCATCCGGTTTTTTAAACTTTTTCCGCCCTGTAAGGCACCTGTTTTTGCAAGTTGATTATGGATTCGGCCAGGCCCACAATGGAGCGACCGGGTGGTGAGGGAAGGGACCCGACATATCCGGACGGATCACCCCCAAAAAATTCCTGGGGATTATTTGAGCCGTCCAGATTCGATCCCGGGTCCCTCAGAGCGGTAGGCTGCAACCTTGTCCGCTCGACCATCCGGTTACTGGCAAAGTGGATAAAACCCACGACCAGTGCCGAACAGTGATAGTCGGTCGTGGGTTTGCGCCTCATCAACGAACTAGCCAATTTCAGTTTTCCGGCTTTTCTTTACATTAGTAACATCTAAATAGTGGTTAGTTTTATGTAGAAAGTCCTTACTTCGGTAGATCGCCCCGGTGTCACGTTTGCCGTATACAAACTAATAAATAAATAATTTAACATTTTATAATTTTGTTGTATTAATTAAATATTTTTTAAAATAAAAGTAATTAGCAATTACACAACGTTAATTAAACAGATCATTTTAATAATTTTTTTTT